GCCCCTTGGAACGTAATTTAAAATCTGGAACCTTTCAGATTTTATTTTCTTTTTATTAATTTTTCACGTAATATATTAAATATCATAATGTATTAAAATTAATAAATATGTGGAAAATCTAAAAGGTATGTGATTTTTTCCTCAAACGTATATTTCTCTTGATACAATAATCTGCATTCATAAAACTGCCAGCTTTTGATATTATGTAAGACGGTAAGATCTATATCATATCATTTTTTACCGTGTGATTGCAGATATTATTTTCTTTTCTTTTTCCCTTTATGTTTGTAATCTCCTGAAATAAAATTTCCCTGTGAGCTGAGTGGGAACAGCTGAGTTTGTCTGAGAGCTTGAGTCGTAACTAGGTTTAGGATGTTGTTTGGGTGTCTGCCAATATGAAAATCGACTAAAATAACTTCCTGCTCCCACCTTAACGCAGTTGTTGCTTTGCTTCCCTATTACGTAAGAGGTCACGTGACAGCTGAAAAAGGGGGTTAAACAAATACGAAAGCTTTTTATCTCTAGCTCCTTTATACATATATCATTACTAGTATTTTTAAAGCCTAATTTATAGTTCAAATAATCGCCTGTAAGGCGTAGTAGGGTAAAATATCGTGTAAAACACTTTTTTTAATGTTTTTCCATAAAATATGCTTTCATTTAAAAATAAAAAAATCATTAAAGAACTGAAAAAAATCATTTTATGATCTCTTTATAAGATATTATACTTTTTAGTCTCTAGTAAGCTGTAAAGTAACTCAAAGCCTCAAAAAGCAGCAAAATTGTTTCTGCTGATGAGCATAGCAGTAAAGTATCCTTCACGTCGTCAAGATTACATTAATTTCATTTAGATTTATTTAATTTATTAATCAGATTTTGTCATCACTTGGAATCTTAAGGCTCATAACAATCAAGGATAAAATCTTTTGATTTAAATGTTTCTCATTGTTAACAGCTGCAAGACAAAGAAAAAAATTCATATGTACACCACATAACTTCCTTGTACGGAATATTAAATTATACGCATTTTTTACTGCATTTCATTTAAACTTACTGAATTGAATTAAATCTACTTCATCGATAGCGCACAAACCACAGTAGAATATATGCACTTTTTAAAATTCACTATACCATAGCGACACTTTGGCCCTGGGTTCACTTAACAGCATTACATCTCATTCATTTTATAACTCAGAATACACAAAAATTATATCATCGGAAGAATTATCTAATCGTTGCCACATGTTCTATTCAATACCATAATAAATCTAAAACGATGTATAATAGAAATTAAACAAATAAAAGAGAAACAGTTATTCACAGACGATTCACCGCCGCTTATCTAATGCGCATGCGCTACTTGTAAACATTGTGCTCTGTCCGAGACACACTGGCGGTAATATTTGCTGCTAATACGATATGCTTATTTCGCCGAATTTCATTAGAGATATATTTCTCATCCAATTAATTCAGTTCTGACTTCGCAAAAAGGCAAAAATGTATAAAACTTCAAAATATCTTTGTTAAAAATTGAAAGCTATGTAAAAATATAAAACACCAAATACAGTTAAAACAATTTTTTCGATTTAAAATGAGAGTTTCTACGCAAAAAGAAGCAAACCGTCCAGCGGGCAAGAAGGCAGATTTTTCGGTGCACAAAACTAAAAGTTTATAGTTTGAGCTTTCAAACAAGCATATGAACTTTCAACACAAAATAAATAAAAAAATAAGAAAATCTGAAGCATTTCAGATTTTAACGGTCCCCCAAAAGGGTTTGTTAAGGTTTTTCTGATCTCTCGCTAAGCTCGCAGTCTACTTGTTGAACCCATTTCTTTTTGTAATCATTTTCTTTGCACTTACGCCATATAGAATTCAACAGCAAAATTACAAACATTTTTAAAGTAGCATGTGCTTAGAATTTCAGATAAAGTGTTAAGTGTTAGCTTACACTTTCCTATATTCCTCTTAGTTTACCATATCAATCTACAGTTTTCTTAGTAAAGATGATTTTTAAAACCTCTTTTGTTGCCTTTTTATTATAAATGTTTTTCGAGTTAAATTCATTAATTAAATATGTTACTCTATGCACTAACACCACATAAAATTCATTTGAATACAAAAATCACAAAATATTTCAAAACAACATATCTTTAAGAATTTCCGATAAACAATCTCGGGCGCTGGAGATAATAATGCTTTAATTAATACAGTGTTCCCACTGTTCACATTCAGATCGTTCAGTTCGTTAAAAATTCATCAGAATTTTCTAAAATATGAAATATAAAACTGGAAATACGAAATTCGGGCTTTAGTAGGGTATAAAGTATTTCTCCCGTCTTCTTGGCGTGCCTTCGTGTTGTGGTGGTCTGCACGCTTGGCGCGTATTCCAGAGGTTCGCAGTTCGATTCCCGGCGAAGGCGTTGCTAATTTTTCCATCTCTCCTGCTACCACAAAATACCTAATGTCTCTTCAAGGGTGCCCATATTCGGGTGGAGGACTATATTATTAAAAATCTGATGGCTCTATAGCTACCGCCGGTTTTTTTTTTTTTTTTTTTTTTTTTTTTTTTTTTTTTTTGTGTGTGTGTGTGTGTGTGTGTGTGTTTAACACACAAAATATTTAAAAAACGCCCCTTTGGACGTAATTTAAAATCTAAAACCTTTCAGATTTTTTCTTTCTTTTTTTTTTTTTTTTAATTTTTTATTTTTTGAGTCTCAATGATGTGTTATCAATCAAGTAATTAAACTAAAAAATCGGTTTTCAACAATATCAGACTTTTACTTCCAACATTTTTGATGTCAAATAATGGGGGGGGGGGAAACGAAAATTGTGCAGTTTTGACAAAAAATTAGAAATTATGTTAACAGGCTCTACCAAAAATTTATTACTTTACATAAACGATTTACATGAAGGCGATAGTTTATCAGAAAGTGTGTTAAAAATCGCTGACAAACTTTTGAAATTACAGCCAACCTTCTGAATAAACTAAATGAAATCTTATAAAAAAATAAATATCAGACATGTAAATGCATTAATTACAACTTACTAATTATTTGCCACTAATTAATTTAATTTACAATCTGGTCACTAATTAATTGAATTTAATCTGTCCTAGATTGATAAATTTCTCTATTCAACAAACCAAAAATAAAGTATGCATATATATATATTAAAAAATCTGAAAGCTTTTAGATTTTTAAATTACGTCCAAAGCGACGTGTTTTATTCATTTTGCGTGTTACCTTTAAGTATCGTGTTCTTCGCACTTAAACCACACAAAATTCCATTCAACAGCAATATCACAAAACATTTATAAATAGCATATCTTTAGAACATCCTATATACAGTCTGTCGCGCTGGAGATAAAAATGTTTTTTTTTTTTTTTTCCTTCCGTAGAGTGTTGCCATGACTCGCTTTGAAATCGTTGAATTTCTTAATCAAATATTCGTTAAAGTTTTACGAAATATGAAATGAATAGTAAAACAAATTCTAAATTTGGGCTTCCAGATATTCGAGTGAAGGTCTACGTTATGCAAAATTTGATGTCTTCAGGTGCCGTCCATTTTTGGACAGTGCGAGATACATACCTACATATATTCATGCAGATGCTTCCGTATGTAATTTCTTTAAATACTGTTGCGTGCATATGGGGTGTGTAATAGATTGCATGCACACAGGTTCGGCGATAGGTTAATAAAATTTATTTCATAGAAAGAAACACTTCAAGTTCTAAAACTTTCCACAAAAATACTGGTACAATTCTTTACAGTATCACAGAGCAGAATCAGTTTGCTACACCTCAAACTACTAAGAACGTTAAACACAAGGCAATGCAAAACGCGGCTAAAGAGAAGCTAATCCGGGGATAGTAGTCAAAACTCCCGCTGGGCTAACATCTAACAACAACTGAGAGCAGATGCTCTGTTCAGCTTTATATAGTTTTCACGCGGCCGCCGAGATATTTCTAGCACTTTCTGCTTTACGAAATTACTGGAAAGCAATATGGTAGTGGAATTATGCTCACAGCTAATATAGTGATCAACTAAATTTATTTAATTACAATGCCTATTACGGGGATACAGGGACCAGAATAAAATGCCGCCAAATGGTTAACAAATTTGGCGACTTTTAGTGATTTCTTGTCAAATTTTGCGACAAAATAAGTCGCCAAAACTGTTGCCAGCTTGCCGATATCTCATCAAATTTCCGAGACACCCATTTAGTCAACGTCAAATGACTTCCCGTTTGGCGACTTTTAGCAATTTCTCGCCAAATTTTGCGACAAAATAAGTCGCCAAAACCGTTGCCAGCTTGCCGATATCTCAACAAATTTCCGAGATACCCATTTAGTCAACGTCAAGTGACTTCCCGTTTGGCGACTTTTAGCAATTTCTCGCCAAATTTTCCGACAAAATAAGTCGCCAAAACCGCTGCCGGCTTGCCGATATCTCATCAAATTACCGAGATACCCATTTAGTGAACGTCAAATGGACTTGCTCCTGTATTGTTACTTTTCCGGCATAACTTTTCTCTTTAGAATTTTCATGTAATATTATGCAGTAAAATAGAACAATTTTAAATGTAATTGCACTAAAGTTATCTATTTATGTACAATATTCTTTACAATATAATACAAAGCGATAAAACTTGGTGGAAGCATCTCAAAAACGTCCGTTTATGGAAAACCGACGAAAAATGCCGTTTTGAGACTTAGCCGTCTGGGTTAGAGTTCCTTTGAACTAATAATAATAATTTTTTAACCTCTCTGTTTACACTGAAATGAACTCCAAACATATTTTTATTAATTTGGTATATTTATGAAAACTTACACAATTGTTGAACAATGTTTTGCGGAAGTTAAATGCACTGATAGATCAAAACTTTCTTATTTCCTAAAATCTGGAAAGTTGTTGAAAATCTTTAAGTATTTCATATAAAATAAAAATATATCCATTAATGGCTGGATGTGTTTTGCTTTGTTTTTTTCCTATTTCCGCAGAGAGACAATACGAAAGAGAGTCAGATTTTACTGTGGATATGGAACTGCCTGGGTGAAAATAGCTGTTTCGATTTTGACCAGTACGTTAGAGATGGAGTACTTTTTTGCAGGTTAGTGCAATTGCCTGCTTTCTTAATGTTGTATACAAAGTAGCGTCCACATATTGGATTATCGGTGTAAAAAATATTATTCAAATAGACCGAAAAAATATGGTTATTACCACGGTCAAACTGCAATATTTCGTTATCTAATTCAGAAGTCAAACAACAAAAATCAGCGTTATATTTTTAAATTCTGTGAAAATTTGAAAATATAACGCCAATTTTTGTTGTTTGACTTCTGAATTAGTATTTGTTCGGCGTGTTATTGTGTCTTAATTCAAGTACCATTTGTTTCTTAGGCAACGGGCTAATCTTTAGAATATGGTAACAGGTAGTTTGGCGACATTTTGGTAAGGCGATAAAGGTTACTAGCTAGGACTTTAGCAATAATCTGAGAAGTACACAATTCCAATCACAGATTATTTTGTCTCAGAGAAATGAGAGATCATGAGACATGTAATGTGATATTTTCCGAAAAATTCCGATCGTGATTTTATCTAAAAAGCACTTAGAAACAATTTTGCTGCTAAAGTGCAGAATCGCCCACTTATTTGTTTGGCGCTTTTTACAAGAAAATAGGTCGATGTGTACATCGATAAAGTCAAGAATGTGCGCAATGCCATTTTTGTGCAATTCTGGGATGTTATTTTAAGCGAAAATAGGTCGACGTGTACATGGATACCGTGTATGTGCAATTCTTAAAAACGCGGCAAGCAGTTTGCGATTCTGCACTTTCTCCCTATTTCGCACCTAATCTTCGTCATGATTAAGCATTTTTGTTCCATAAAATTTCTAGTATAAGCGTAATTCGGCTAGCAAATTGTTGGAAAAAATTTTGAGTAAAAAAAAAAAAAAAAAACTGTGTAAGGTAGGTAAACATAATGAAAATGTAAATAAGGAAGGGGAAACATATGGTGCAGGACGTTTTTAAAGTGATTCTTAGTTTAAAACCCCTTCGCGCCGACTGTCACGTATACGTGCCAGCAACAAACGCACTTATCTACCGGCCGACACGCAGGTGTGCCAGAGCATTGTTGCGTTTTCTACCGACTGTCACGTATTTGTGCCAGTACCTTGGAACGTTTTTCAAACTATAATTTCTGCCACAAGATGGCACTGTATGCCCATATGGTTTCAGATACATGTACATTAGACCTTCTACTCCACATGAGAGAAGTATGACTCACATACACGTGTTTTTGATTATATAAACAAACGGGGAACTAAATGTTTCCGAATGGCGTGATTTATGACGTCTCTTTAAATCGCACTTTATTAGCACGTGGTAGTTGTTTATTGTAAGTAGAAGTTTTATATGCGCTAAAGCATTGAGTATTTCGGTTTGCAGTTCAGTTTTTAGAAAATAATTAGATCTTGGTAGACGTGAATTCTTTCTGTTTTTACCGTTTCAATGTCGAAGCGTCGAAAATGTTTAACAGAGCATGAAATAGCAGAAATGATGCAAAATATTTCAGATATTGATTCTGAAATTCTGATATTCTGATATTGATTCGGAAAGATTAACTGAAAGACATTTTCCAAAACTTTGTTCAGAAGAGACTGATAAGAAAATGAGACGACGATGCTTCGTTTGTTCACATTCCCGGAAAAATCCTCCAAAACGACAAACGAGTTATTGCGAGTTCAAGGAATGTAACGTAGGACTGTGTGTAGATCCCTGTTTTAAAATTTTTCATACGAAAAGAGAATTTTAAGTAATATATTTAGTTTTCAGATGTATAATGTTAAAAGTCATAAAATGGTGAGTAATTAAAATAAAATGTGTAAAATATGCATTTAAACAAGAAATAAGGTAATTAAAGTATATATATATAAATATCTATAAAGCATAAGCCGTCTAAATACTCTATAGAGCATTATTAAACAATGCGTTGATACTTCGGAAATTTCATGGATTTAGGCTTAGTATCAAAAAAGCCCCCGGCCCTGGAGAGACGCTCGCGGAAGACACTGCCGCCCTCCGCGATAAGCGCGCGTTTTCGCTACCCGGCTCGAAGGGGTTAGAATAAAGTATTTGGTTGGATTTACTGAAAGTGTTCGAGAAAATTTCTAAAATAATATTAAGTATTTCTTACCATTCTACGATTTTATTAGTAGAAACATTATTTATGCATACGTAAAACGATGTTAAAATATTTTATATTAAATAAAATCATATATTAGGACATACTGAAAAGTAAATATTATAAGTCAACGTAAAAATATTATTAAATTGTATTTTTCTCATATGAAATTTTCCCGATTATTACAACTTCAAAATGCTCCATGCGCTTTATTTTATGTTCAAAATGACTGTAATATGTAATTTAGGTTCCCATTTATACATGTAATAAAACTTAGTATGTATTTTTGAATGCGAATTCATTAAGAGGCTAGAAGTCCATTTAACGTGTAGAAAAGCGGGAAATTTTGTCCAAAATTCCGGTATATGTGAAAGAAATATTAATTAATGTTATTTAATTCATTAATTGGCACTAGGTTGCGTTTGCAATGTATTTTCAATAAAAATAAATCAAAAATAACAAGAAACAGAAAAAAAATTAAGTCGCATGGAGCATTTTGAAAAAAATTTAAAAATTCAAAAGAAATTTTTAAAAAAATTAAAATTCAATGATCCAGAAATTTTTTTCAGAGATATTTGATATAATTATAGTAAAATATACATACATGCAAAGTTTCGTAACTCTATGACAATAATTTTAAAAAAAGTATTTAAACGTCCACTGTCCCCTTAAAAATATATATACTCTGCCTGCGAAGTTGTGTGTGTAGTAGAGTGTCTTGAGTTCAGATATTAGACAAGACTTCATGAAGAATGAAAACAAAACAATTTTTTCATCAGTATTACACAGGAGAAAACAAAACAATTTTTTCATCAGTATTACACAGGAAAGTTCCAGAGACGCGTCACAGTCGCCGAAAAACGAAGACAAATACGTTGAAACAATTAGCAACACAGCCTTCAGGCTATAACCGTGAAGACAGCTACACGACAAAGCACTAAAGTACAGCTCCCGACTCGGTCGACTGAACTCAAGACACTACTACTAAATTCAAGATACTCTCAAGATACACTTCACGATAAACTCTCATGATACCCTGCTAATCCTGGTACAGGCAGGTTTTATATAGCTTTTGACCTGGCTTCGAGAACATTCTTGGGATAAACCAGTAAGAATCGTTCTACAACATTCTCACTCCGTCCATGATATATAGTCCAATTTGTCGCCAAATGGACGATTTTACGCCAAATTTATAAACCCTAACCGTCTGTTCATGCGATGCGTGCGTTGTTATACAACAATTTCAAATTAACTAGAAGTGGACTGTACTAAATATTTTATTCAACAACTTTAATCAAATGCGTGCCATCTTTCAAGCGATGACTTACTACTAATAACAACAGCAATAAAAAAAAACTGAGTAAGCGTTTACAGGGTTGCTGTAATGAACATCTGCCCCATGCAAGGCGCCAAGAAGAGAAAAAATCTTACAGTTAAATAGTCTTAATGACTTAACATACCCCTCGGCATTGAAGGGTTACTTCAATAATTTCGTGCGATAATACTCATAATAACCCACAAAATTGTACAATTACTACCTTATACAATAATGCAATACGAAATAACATCTCTTAATTCAATATAATAATATTCAATTTTCAATACAAAATTTATACACAATACAATGTACAATACAAGTTTTATATTAATAAGCTAACACTTAACTAACTTAGGAAGCTTCTTCTTGGGGTAAAATTGCAATTTTTGTAATTCCACGCTTAATGATGCCCTTTTGCTGTCTGTATTTCTACTACTCTAACCTTACCGTCAACTCCAGGAAAAAGTTCTTGTAATGCGCCCTAACACCCATCTACAAACAGGAAGCTCATCCTCCTTAACTAGTACTAGCATACCTATTTTAATATTCGTTTGTTCTACCTTCCATTTTGAACGCTGTTGTAGTGTGTTTAAATAGTCCCTATGCCAACGATTCCATATCAACTGGACAAATCTGGTAGTTCGTTTCCATCTTGAGAGTCTGTTTTCAGGTATATCAATTAATTCGGGTTCTACTATAGCATTCAAGGGTCTTCCAATGAGAAAATGGCCTGGTGTTAATGCCTCTAAATCATTTACATCGGAAGATAAGGGAGTAATAGGGCGAGAATTTAAAACAGACTCTATCTGAGTTACTACAGTTAATAACTCCTCGAAAGTCAACCTTGCATTACCTACAATCCGCTTTAAGTGATATTTCACGGATTTTATTCCAGATTCCCATAGTCCACCAAAATTAGGTGTCCGTGGGGAATAAACTTCCATACTATTCCTTCTTCACCTAAATAATCTGCTAATTTTTTGTCAGGATTTCTAATTAAATTGTTAATTCTTTGCAATTCGGCATTTGCGCCAACGAAGTTTTTTGCATTGTCTGAGAAAATGATTGAGCATTTTCCGCGCCTAGCAATAAATCTTCTTTAAGGTGGCAATAAATGCGTCAGTGGTGAGTTCACTCACTAGTTCGAGATGCACTGCCTTTGTTATAAGGCAAATGAAAAGAGCTAAATATACCTTATGAAGAGTTCCTTTCCCTCTGTCCCTTGTGCCTAATAAAAAAATGGACCGCACAAAAATCGGTGCCGACATGATTAAAGGGTGAGCTTGGATTTACGCGCTCTGCAGGTAATGACCCCATAATTTGTTCGATAGTGACTGGTTATTTTTACTACAAATTATACATTCATGGGTAATCTTTCTAGTTAAATTCCTACCTTGTAATGGCCAAAATTTCTGTCTCATAAAACACAATAATGCTTGCGAACCTACGTGTAAATATTCTGATGATAATGCTCAGCAATCAGCTTAGTTAGTTTGCATTTAACAGGCAAAATTATTTGATGTTTTGTTGAAAACATTACATTGGCCCCTTGTAATCGGCCTCCTACTCTCATTACATTATTTGCATCCAAAAAAGGGTTCAAAGAA